GCTGAACCAAACCAAACTACTAACACACACACACAAACAGCACCACCAGCCACACAACTTTAAAAGTCTCTATTTTAGTCAAGACTTTGGTGGGAAAAGCTTAGAAACAGACCACACACAATACCTGTGGAGACCTTTGTGCATTGGCCTGAAGCAGCTCTGCCTGCCTGAGCCTCCTCTCCCGAATAGTCTTCATGCAGCCCTTGGTATCAATCTGAAAGAGCTGCAAGGTGAGGATTTCATTAGAATTTGACTCAGAACAAAAATGTCCTGGCAGGGCCAGTGATAATACAAGATGGATGGGAGTGACTTCACATGCAAGATTCTGGGGATATTTTTACACTTACAAAGTACTGACAGTATCAGATTTTGGATGTAGGATTTATTTAAGATCCCATGCAAGCCATGAGGTCAGATTAATCCAGTAATTAGATTATTTAATAAACACAGATAAACCATTTATTTAAGCATCAAACACAGAAATAAAAATCAGCACTGTTTGAAAGCAGATAATGCTATTAAGAGAGTAAAAAGTACCTGAATGAAAAGTGTGAACAGGGGAGTGCTCACGAGACTGATGGATTTGACCTTTGCTTGAATGGAATCAGCTAGAAAAAAAGTCCAACATCAAAATCAGCCAGGCATTCACTTACAAGATGTCAGAAATGAGGGACAGAAAGTGTGAGAGTCCTACCCCTGATGGGTCCCCACTACCTTTGGTCTGACGAAAAGCCATCTTCCCAGTCTGCAAGGTGCAGGGCAGCAGCACGTTGCCCACCCAGGGTGTCACTGCCATCAGCAGCTTCCTGTCCAGGTTCAGCCTCCTCAGACGCTCTCTCTCTTGACGAGAAGCTTTGGCTGTCATGTTCTGCACCCCCTGAAGCTTCTGCCCAGCAGAACTAACTCCAGATATCTTTGACTGCTGTGGATGAATACATAATTACAGCTCCAGTTAGTAAATTTCTACCACAATTAATCCAAATAAAAGCCATTCACACAGCAGTTAAGGAAAAAAAAAACCAGCTTTTCCTCTTGGGAATACAGTTCAGGAAGGTAGGGGATTCTATCAGGAAACACTTCCCACTACACACAGCCTGGCAGGGCTCACATTACTAAAGCAGACAAGACAGAAGAGGCACTTACAAGTCTCCTCTGAAAATACGTGTTATATCTTAATACTCTTCTCACATCCTCCAGTGTAACCCGTAGCACTTGCTTTCCACACCTGGAAGCCTTAAAACAAAAGCAGGCAAGAAAAGATTAAAGGGAAAGTATCTAACAGAAAATCACTTGCACTGACTATATGCAGAGTGTATAAAAGTTTTCAACACTCCTGAAAGTATCTTACTAAATAAAACCAGCCCTGAAGTGCAGACACTTCCCTTACCTTTAGCCCTCGTGCACTACCACAATATCAAATGTTTATCTCATAAAAGCCTTTGTGTGAACTATCTACAAAAACCCACACTGAGGGTCAGAATTTATTGGGTGATTCTCTGCATTTTTTGGCTCACCAGTACAAAGGAAAGGTTCAGGAAGAGGTCTGGAAAAGCCACAGACTCCTCCCTGAACTTGTACTAGTAAAATAATGCTGTATCCATAATCAAAATTAAAGACTGATGATGCCAGATAGGCACTTGCAACCCTCACATACCATGACCCCCAGAAGAGATCACTTCTGTAACCAACAAGCTTGTCCTCAGTGCAACTGGCCCCACAGTCAAGGGCACACATGCAATTCCCACCACAGAAGTTTGGTCCTGTGACACTATGTGCAGGGAAGAACACAGCTGTCTTCCAGGCACTGCACGGGGAGGCAGTGCTAGAAATTTCTGAGTAATCCCCCAGCTCAGTTTCCAACAGCACCACCCAATGGCACAATGAGAAAGCAGCCAACAGAGGCACGAAAAAGGTCCTGCCACCTCCTCATCACATCCTCTCCTCACTGCAGCAACTGTGCATCCCCATCACGGCTGATCTAAGCCCCAGTCCCACCCAGAACAGATGAAGAATGCCAGGACTCACCTTGTTTATCACTTCTGCTGGATTCCTCACAACGATGTCTGTTGAATGGGGTCGTGCAATGCCCCTCAGGAGGGTGTTCAGCTCTGATGAATTAGCAGCAGCTCTGTCCTTGTCTCCATCACCTGTTGTCGTGCTTGGAGCTTCACTGCTGCTGGTCTGTGCACCAGCACTCGCAGGAAAGAGAAGGGATGGGGTTTGGTATCTCCCTAGGTTTGCCTCCTCTGCATCTGCCTGTGTGGGTACCCACAAGTCGATGCTGGGAAATGCAGACTCCTCCTTGGTTGTTGTCTCTTCCTCCTCCGAGCTGTCTGCCAAGTCCAGTTCTACATCTTCACTGCTACTCTCTGAAGAGCTGCAACTCTCTTCCATGTGTTGGCGTTTTGTTGGCCTAGATCTTTTCTTCTCAGCCAAAAAAAAAAAGCACAGAGAGGTTTTAGCCAGTGTTTGCCCCTGGCTTGCAAATCTCTCCAATCAGTAAGTTAAGGAGTTTCTTAGGGCAGTGTCCTGTCAGTGAGGCCTGGCTCCCAAATGGACAGCTCTGCTTTACTTCTGCTGGGATTAACCAAACCCACTACAACTGGCAATTGTCTTTGGACCCAGATTTTTATTGGTTTAGGTTCTTGTATGCAAAGAAAGCTACAGATAGGGACAAGCTTGTGTTAAAAACTAGTGCACACAGAAGCACAAACTAAGTACAGCTGCCCCTGGCTGACACATTCAGGTTGCCATGAACCCTTCCCTAGGGCAGGTGCTTTGCCCATGGAAACAAGACTGTACCTTTAACATGGTCTTAAGCAGCCACAATTTCTGGAGTGCCTGGTACCAAAACTGGCAACTCATGAGGTACATACATGAAAACCTAGGTAAAGCCCAACCATACAGGCACTTCAGGGTAATAAAGACAATTCTGGATAATATAAGTATATAAGAATATATAAAAATATCAAATAATAGAAATAAAATTATAGAAAACTACCTTCAGACTTTCAGAACAAAGTCTGCTTTAAGGCATGAAAAATTAGACCATGAATGTCCACAATAAAATCCTGACTGTATTAAATCAGTATAATTTTTTGTCTTGATTCCACAGGATTTCACTTTTAGTTTAGAGAATCCTAATTAAAGAGTGGAGACTGTGATTGTACCATACCTTTGACCCAATCATGAGTTGCCACTTGCTCAGACACTGGGAGCCTGTCCTATGGGGCAATTCAGAAGCTATTTTACTCCAGTGACCTAAAAAGGATGCAGAGTAGAGCACATCTCTTAATGCAACAAACCAAGGAACAGGCTTTTTCACCAGACATTCCTTGTACAAGAGACAGATATTGTCTAAGTGCATTTGGAAGCCTGGATACTCACTTGTGTTCTCTGATCAGACTTTGCACTACTACACACAAAGTTAGAAACTGCCAGAAAATGAACTGACATCAAAAATCCTCACAGAACTGCACACTCCCTTGCAGCAGTAAGAGAGCACTTAGAAGAAAGCTTAAACTGAATGCTGAAAAGCTCCTATGTTAAGGGAAGTTCAGAGAAAATAAGAGAACTGCTTCTGAGGCTGTTCAGGGGGGAACTCACCACTCTGAACAGTCACAGCTCTGACACCTTGCTAACACAGCTATAGAACTCTCTACTACAAAATCCCTCAATAACTGAATTTCCAGGAACCCACTGTGAAGAGGGTTGGAATCAGCAGTACCAAGTGTCAGCTGCAGGGCTTAAAATAAAACAGGAGAAAAATTAAATGATGAATTCCCTAATAATACTTCTCTAAGCTTCTAAAGACTAAGCCACAGAAACACTTACCCAGGCCATGCTTCTGAACCAGTTCAATTAGCTGCTCCTCTTCCTCTAAGCTCCACTTGCCTTTCTTTACATCATGGTCCAATGCTTTTAAGTACCTTCAAAATGGAAACATTAAAGTAAGGAACATTCAACTCTGCTTGCACAGATCATCACCACATACTTGGAGGCTGAACAAACCCAGCTCTTTCCTTTTTGTAAAAGGTCCCATCCCTACTCCCTTAATACAGGTACAGCTACAATCTCTTCATTCTCAAAAGCACCAGGCCATGAGAGTAAGAATCACAACAGAGCTGGTCTCTGAAATTAGGCCACACTGTACTCTGGAGTCTCCTGAAGTTGAGTCCAAGACTGAGAACTGCTCAGCACCTCATTATTGGTGTTCAGAGATGGGAATTCACTGGCTAGGTCATGTTCACAGATGCACAGACAATGCCTGGATGACAACCTCCCCTCCTTCATGCATTCATTCACGTTTAATGACTCCTTTCTTTATCTTGAGCATCCTTCCAACTTCTGCTAAACCACAGGCAACTACACCAGGGGAGCAGCACATCACAGGCAACAACCCACTGCTCTCTCTGTTAACTCAATTTCAACTTTCTGACTGCTGTACCTACAAACACAGGGTTACATGGAGACAACGTTAGCGACTATTTTAGACCATCAGCACCTTTTACAGAGCAGTCCTTAAGGCAACACTGGTTAAAACAAATCAAATGTGTTAGTAAAACCAGCTGCATCTTGGCTCTGTGCAATGAGCTCGAGAGCACAGCTCACACCCAGGGTACTGACCTATCTCTGCACTGGGCATCACTCCTCCCTGGCACTTCTGTCCGAATTTTGTACCAGTCTCGTGCTCCATACTTCTTAACTGCAGCCAGCAGCATCTGTCAACCAGACAAAGCAAGAACTGAAATCCTCATCAGTAATAACCCTGACAGGCCCGAGACAGAAGCAGTTCTATCTGTTCCCAGTGTGTTGTACATCTCTGAAGAGAAATGTTTGCATGCTTCTAAGCCCCCTTGGCTTGTAAACTGCCCGTCTGGGTCCATCTGACATTGCCCTGTGCCACAGTTACAGCTCAGATGTACCCAGCAGTGCAACCCCTCAGCAGCCTAACCTCCCACTTGTTGCCCCCTGCAATCAGAGAAGGGAGCTTACAGCATCTTCCTCTGGTGTCCAGGGTCCTTTCCTCAAACTGGGGTCCACGCTCTTTGTCCAGCGGTAGATCAGCTGAGTAGAATCTCTTCCTTCCATGTAATAAGCAACTAGAAATGCAAAGGTGCATTTTAATATCTGTTGCCAACAGTGTTTCTTCCTTTACTTACATTGTAACTGATATTTTCAAACAGCAAATCACCATAAGCAACACCAAAATCTCAGTTTAAATACTTAAACCAATGGTGCTCAGGCAGACCTGACAGAGCAAGGCACACCCCAAATGTCACTACTGGTGATGGTATTGCCAACAGGAGATGTGACAACCCAACAACCATCTTCCAACAACACAGAACTAGGAAAGGTTTCAGCTCAAATATGTATCTGACAGGTTCAACACACCAGGTGCTACACTCACCCTGGTGGATTTAGGCCCCCAGACACTTGGTTACTATTCCCATAGTGACTCCCACACTTCTGAGGAACAGAAGCAGCAGTACTGAACCCCTAGAAAAGGCTTCTGGGCACAGTCCTGGAAACTGCCCAAGC